CAGACTTTAACTAATGTTACCATGTCTAAATCTTGTGCTAGTATCCTTTGGATACGGTAATTGAAGGCATTAACTATACTCAGTAAACAACAAATTAGAGAAGTAGGTTACATTGCAATTCTTGAAAGAGTGATGTTCTTCCTCCCAAATTGGAAAAAAAAAAAAAAAAAAAAAAAGCGTTCCATTTAGTTTTATGAAGACATGTTCCTATTCATGACTTTTGCAAATTGGTTGAGATGGGGCCATCACCATGCATGGGTAAATTGCAACTTGCTTGCTGGCATCAAAGGTTAGAATTGAAGAAGGATGGGACATCAAATTCATGAGATCGAAGAAAAATGCAGTGAATTTCAGGTTCTCTTGCTGGCATGCCATGATGGCGTTAGATCCGCATGTCGTAGGGAAGAGAGAAAGCCTATTCAATTAATCCATGGTGTCTTGATTACCATGCACGTGCTTGTTCAAAGGGGTTAGTACTAACTTCTATGATTATTAATCATTCTACTCATTTGAATTTCCACACCAAAATCCTCCCCAACCCTAAATTACTTGCTGCTTTTCTTTTTGCTTTTCACTAATGAAAATCTTGCTCCAATCTTCGATATAAAGCTTCTTTTGAGTCTGAAGTTTGTATTTCATAGCCTCTCAATGGTGTTTGAATTGTAATTTTTTAGAGTTTCAGTAGAAAATAAATATTCTGTATCAATTCAAAATATGTGAAATAATAAAGATATAACTAAAAAATATGATCATGAAAAATGTAAAAAATTCTCTTTGAAAATTTACAATCCAAACAAGTTACTAGAAACAAGCAGTATGCCTCTTCTAATTCCAACTACACTTACTCACAGGATAAGCATTTTTATGCTTTCCCCTCCTTTTTCTCACGGAGGGTGGGACGTCAAAAAAGGGAGAAAGAAAGCATAATGAAGATGTTGAGAGGAACTCTCATTCTAAAACAAGAAACAAACACCCCTAAGTCCTATTCACTGGCATGTGTGATCCTCAGTAATGTTATCTAGTTTTTCTGCAAAGACCGCAGGGTTTATTTGACAAATAAGTTTTTTGCAAAGTTTGTCTGCTACAAGTTTATTAACAATTTTAACTACAATAATCTTTAAAAACTTTTCAAAATTTTTGAAGTGTTTAAACTATACATTTCAAAAAAAATTTCTATAATTTTTACAGTAAGTTATAGTAAAATTTTAGATAAACATCAAAAAACTCATTTACCCCAAACGGGCCTGCATTGCTTCAAGAAGAGTCAGGTCTGGCTTAAACTTCTCCGGGTCTGTCAAAAGAATTTACCTCTGGAAAGCAGAAAAATTCCACCAAATTTCACACTTTCTCTAGATGAACTGGCAGAATTGAAAAAGTTCTCATGCCTTTTTCACTGCAAAAGCAGCAATCTTACCTGGTCCTGGAGGATGGCTCGACGGATATTGGAAAGGAATCTACACAACAAGAAAGACAATAATGTCTACGTGGGTTAAAAAACAAGTTGACTTTTTATTCTGGAATATCAACTTTTAACCTCTGCTGCAAAGATCTAAGACAACATTTCATGTCACGTCACATCAGTAAATGTTCCTTTCTACGAGAGATTCTTCGTTCTCAGATTACAGAAAAGATGATCACGTGAGCTCCTGCGTTGATAAATGCTTTATTTCGTCATTTTCTGCAGGTACTTGAAAATACATAATAATTTTACTGCTAAAGAAAAAGGATTTTTATTAAAGGCAAAATCATTTTTTTCATATTTCATCAAATAAATTTTTTCGACCTTCACTTTTAAATTTTTAATTTTACTTCCCTCGCAAATTTAAGTTAGTAAAATTTGATCACAATATTTTCGACCACTTTTTAGTCTGAAATTATTACATGACCCATATGCAGCTATATTTTATGTATAAAAAGGTCAGATTCTACATATTTTAGTGATAAAATTAAATATAAATTTGGCCCAATCCCACGTTTTTAGAAAAAAAAATGAATATGATTCACATCGACTCTTATTTTTTTTAAGAACAAAAATGAATATAGATCAAATCATTTGTTTAATAACAGATAGGATCTAACTTCTTCCTCCCTAAAAATAATGATCATCTATATATCACGTGCTAGATTCGAGGTAAAAAATGGTCAAAAACTAGGTTTGGACTAAATTTTATTGATTTGATTTTGTAAAAAACGTAAATTTACTATTTTATAAGCGAAGAACGAAAAAATTCATTTGGTGAAATGTGATGTACGTTTTGAACAATTTAGTAAATAAAGATGGCAACAAAAGAATCCCCCTCCCCAACTTCACACAACTCCCCGACTCCACCCCTATTCCTTCTACCCTCGTCTTGCTCTGTTCTCGCCATGAATATCCATTTTATTTTATATTTTTCAAATGGTGATGTAATTGAGCCCAAAAATAGCATGTTTAGTGATGTGTTTAAACCTAACAAATCAATATTAAAATATTAATTAGAAACTCCTCTAAACTACAAAATTAGTTGTGACACTACTACATTAATAGCTAATTTGGGAGTTTAGAAAAGAAAAGAAGAGAAAGGGTAAATTAAAAAAGAAAAGAAAGGATGGGAAAGATCCAAGTTTCTATCTAAATTGTTTGGGAGTTTTAAGAAAGAAAAGAAGGTAAATAGTTTTTTTTTTATTTTGGTTTGGGAGTTGAGTACAAATGAAATGAAAAAATATTCAAACAAGTTACTTTACAAATATGCCTTTTCTATAAAGTGAAAGGAAGTATTTTAGTGAGGGTTTTGTAATGGGGGGACTTATCGAGAATTAAAATTTTTGTATCAGGATTCTAAGGATAGTTTTATCATATTTGAAAATTCACTTAAGACTGCCACATTTCCCTTCCCTTTCTAACCAATTTTGGCCGGCAAGTTTTCCTTTACATGGAGTGAGATGAAATCTTTCCAAATCTTTTCTTTTCCTTCACATATTTGCTTCCAAACAATGAAAAAACTTTATTATCCTTTCCAAATCTTTTTTTACTTTTTATTTTCTTCCTCCCAAACTAGCTATAAAGCTTTATCTCGAATTTGACAGCAGCAGATCATAGCACAACTTTCAAACCTGTCTTTTCACATACCACAATTTACTGTTAAACGTCAATAAACAAGCAAAGCGCACCGCTTACCTAAAACTATAAGCATAAATAATTATATACAAAAGAGGAAACTTTCCAGATAGCTCCTAAACTATTGTGTTTTGTACGATTTTTGCCTCTCAACTATAAATTGTCACAAATAAACCCTTAAATTTTAAAAATGCTCAGTTTAAAGACTTTCGTTAATTTTGACCGTTAAAGGTGATAGAATTAGGGCCAAAACCGACCAAACAAAAAAAAACTAACCCACAAAAACAGTTCAAAAGGTCTCGTTGACTAATTATTTGATCAAATTAAGTTAGAGAAGGTAGAAAATGAAAGAAGAGAAAGAAATATTGAACTTCATATTATTAGTTGACTTAACATAGTTTATTTTTAATTAAATCGTGGGTTAGTTTTTTTGTTTGAATGGTTTTACCCCTAATTCCGTTATATTTAGTGTCCAAAATTGACAGAAGTCCTTAAATTAAGCATTTTTTGTTTAAGGGCTTATTTGCAACAATTTACAGCTGAGGGGCCAAAATCCTTCAAAGCAAATAATTTAGGGGCCTATCAGAAAGTTTCCTTTACACAAAATCGATTATGATTGCAGCTGTGGAGATTTACTGAAGAGTTTATTTTTAATTAAGACTAATTTATAATTATTATTTTAACCTATATAATATTTATTTATATTTGTCAAGTGATGTCTCCCCCTTACTCCTTCCACGGGGTGGGCACCCATCTCCCCGTTGCCATCTCTAATGTTCACCTCAATTGACTAAGCAACAATAGCTGTATAACACTTGATCTAATAGAGACATGTATGACACATATATAGCTGTATTACACTTCAGATAAAAGAGTTAGCAATATAATTGAGACAACAAAACAAACAAGAGCTTTGCAGTCAAACCGTCCAAACAAGGCCTTAAACTTCAGATAAAAGAGTTAGCAATATAATTGAGACAACAAAACAAACAAGAGCTTTGCAGTCAAACCGTCCAAACAAGGCCTTAAAGTTTCTGCCGTCCAATTCTTTAGCTTTTCTGCCGTCCAGAACCCCTATTAAGACCAAATGATTTCTCGTTTACGAAGGTGTTTCGGCATTATCTCGTAGCTATGGTCATATTAGTCAGCAGCAATTGGTGAATCCTCTGACCTGACAATGAACAGGACAATTTTGTACATTGGAGTCGTGAAATGGAATGCGATGGGAATGCTTTGCCATTAGTTTAACCTCCTTGTTGGATAGATTTGAGCATCTTTCAGTAGTACGATGATGCTATAAAGCAGATAAATCAAGGAGTCCAACCCATCAAACTTCGTGTTCAAACCTCAAAAAACCTCCGCTTTTCTGGGCAGCCCGATATCAGAATTATTCATGTACATTTACATTAGAAAACGAACGCGTTTCTTTATCTCGAGGAGAAAAATAAGCAGGCATAAAAGAACCAAACACTATACCAGTTCCACTCTGTTCCACCAAGCTGCAACAAATTGCCTGGAAACATTTGGTATCTCCCCAGAAAATCAAAGAGCTCTCCTCTTTACCAAGTAGTAAAAAATGCTACAAGTTTCAGTAATCACACACACAACAAAAAGTGATAACATCCCAAGTTTCAGTGATCACAATAAAAAGTGCACAAGTTTCAGATCTAAAAGTGATAACATCTGCAATCTACTTACATACACAAAATACTCCACAACTCACCCGATAGAAACTCTCACAAAAATACAGTAAATGTCACATAGAAACATCCAGTTGGGCAAGCCTAAGAACGGTGCTGCGAAAAAGTCCAAGAATTTCAAATATAGCAAGCAGCCACAATGCGATATAAATTCAGACTTTCAGCCAATTACCAAGGCAGGAACTAGCAGCTTTAGAAGTTATGACAAAGAAATACTAGCTTCTGAAAAAATGTAATCCAAGTTAGATGGAACAGATAATCCATTGCACATATTTCTTCTATCCATCTCACAAGAAGCGATAAAGAAAGACTAGCTTCTGACAAAACGTAATCCAAGTTAGATGCAATAGAGAATCCATTCCAAACATCATCTCCTGTATCCATCTCAGAAGAAACAAAAAAATGAAAACGAGGTAAGTAAAGGTTGCTGAGACATAGAAAATGGTTATCCAAAAAGCTCGATCATTCTTCCTTTTATAGCAAGGACAAACATCTATACACATCTAGTATTATGTCTGGGATTAACTCATCCCAATACATAGAAACATACAGCAGATGAATAGTTTCTTTTTTCAATTTTCCCTCCTTATCTCTTAGAAATACCCACCCCCGCCCCCCACCAAAAAAAAAAAAAAAAAAAGTTTTCTCGAGCCATGACGCAGTTGCTTTACGATGACACAAATGGAAAATAACCAGGAGGACAAATGCACATTGCACAAAGACATCACCAAGCCAGCACAAAGAACTAAGATACTGAAGCAACCCAAGCAATCGTAGCCAGTTGTAGAGGACTTCCAAAGTTCACCAGACAGCAAAGATGTCCAAATCCTTATGCCTTACACGTTGAGCATTGCTACAGCAGACACAATCAGACAAGTGGTCAACTTATAACAAATAGCAAATTCATTGAGAAAAAGCTGCATACTTTATAATACTTCAGCCCTGGCTTCTAGATCTTATCAAGCTTTTCTGCTTTGACAACAGGATTAGCTTTAGCTATTGCATCCTGAGCAGCAGCGCGATAGTCAAATGGACACTCATGCTTATCAGAATAACGATGCACGGCACAGAAAAGATTTCCACATCTGCAGTTAAAACCAGTTAAACCCACACGTTTGCGGCAAGTGCTGCACCTGTTTGGGCCCTCTTTTACCTTCGCTTCTGAGCCCTGCCCCACTAAAATCTCAGGGGATGCCTGAGTCGAAACAACTTCAAAGTCCGCTGACACAGCTTGTACAGCCAAAGCGCCAGTAACAACAGGCTCTTTCTCTTTACTACTTGAACTGCCATTGACGATGTTCTCAATCGATGAAGCAGCAAGTTTGGCTTGATCCTGCTTCAAGATCATCTCCTTGTGGCACTTTGAACACATGTTCATGGTTGCTGCACTACCAAAAAACCCACAATTGTTAATGCAAAGAATTGGACCTTCCGGAGCTTGGCAGCCTGTCTCTTCTGAAGACTCCATTAGACAAATATCCTGCCAATTAAGGATGAACAGAAAACTAAGTTAACCAACTAACTGAAGTACAAGATAACCTAGAAAACTTCAGAGCCATTTTGCTGATAAACAAATACCTTCATATCTGAAAACTAAATTCGGCAATGCAGTAACTAGTTACTTTTTTTAATATGTAACCACATATGATGTTAAGAATCTCTAACAAATTGTTGACAACTTATCATGAATGAAGCCTATTTAACTCAGCAAAACTCAACATACCTCTATAGTATGTAAGCAAAAGCATACCAAGTTGTTGGCTTCAAGTTCAACTGAACAAGAGAAAAATCCTAGCATCGTGCAGGAACGTGGCACAGAATCATCATAACATAATTTATAGTCAGGGGGAAGAAAAAGTTAGACATAGCATACCACTAGAGGTCAGACATGAGAATAGCATGGTAACAGAGAAGCTGCCATTCATCTCCTACAGCAGTACCCAATTTTCCATGCATTCTTGTAGTTCAATCTAATAGCAAAATCCAGGGAATGTGGAAAAATATCAAAGCATTGGCACTTTCTCACGTTACGTGACCCCCAAAACAAGGTTTGTTAAGTGGCTGTTTAAATTTCAACTAAGTTGCCTTTTATAGCAATATTGTATTCCAGCGTTTCATGAACTGCCAACATTACACTAAAGGATGGTAAACAACAAAAACATATAGTGATCTTCAAAAAAAGGGAAAAAGAATGAAGTTAGAAAGCTACAAGCTAAAAAGTGCAATAGTAATTTACAGAATTCTTTCTAACAGAAATTGCAAGTTTACTGAAATTCAATTAGAATGAAATGGAAGAGCAAAATGCAAAACTGCTATTCTATCTACTTGCACTCTTTTGTTTCCTCCTGATAGAAATCCATTCATGAGCTCATCTGAATTATGAAAAAGATCATCAGAGTAGACTTGGTATGATGCAAGAGAACCATTAAGATATCGACACTAACACAGTCATCCACAAGTCAAAACCCAAAAACTGAGATAATAACTTATCTAGATGAATAAATTCCACCAAAATTTGTTGGTAAATATCGTACAAGCATACCAACAGCTGGAAACAGCTAGCCAAACACATACGGAAGGCAGAGTTAACATATTATTATCGGTAGCATCATTTAAAATCTCCAAACATACAAATTTTTCAAAAAATTATCATGTAAAACACTCAACTAGGCAGAACTTCTAGAAGATAACAGACAATCAAATTAAATTGCACTAGCAATAATACAAAATATGTACTAACCAAACAAGTCCGTATCCTTAAAGAAAAGAATTTAAAAAAAAAATAAATAAACAAAAACTCCTTCTTACTGCCCATATTAGCGTAAATCAGATGGGATTCACAACAAAAATTCCAAAAGACCAAAACTTTTCACCATCTAGAAATAGTGGAACCCCTTCCCACTAATTCTCAAAAAAAGAAAAAACAAAAATACAACAAAACCCACCAAAAGTATTCATTGCTCAGACAATCACAAAAACCCCTAAGCAAAAATGGGGGTGAAACCTTTCTTTTTAAAAAAACAAAAATTCTACAATTCCTGCATCGATTAAGGGATAAATTAAATTTATAACTAATCAGAAACCGATGAAAGAAAAAGAGAGAGAAAAAAATCCTTACGTATTGATGAAATTGAAGGAGGTTTGGCCGATCTTGACGTGCAAAATCGAACCAGATGCTAATTCTGGAACCCTTCAGGGTAAAAATATATAAAAAGGAATAAATATACTAAAATTCAAAAAGGAATTCCGAAGAGAAGAGTAAATAAATAGATGAGAAACAAGAAGGAGAATACGAAGACTGCAAATATATTAATAATAGTATTAAATACCTTAATATGTACAGTTTCAATTAAACTGAAGCTATAATAATCAGCAAGGTGAAGCCGCGGAAAGAGAGAATGTGGAGAGCTAGGGAGGAAACGGCTGGTGTGAATTGGATTGATAATTGCAAAAATTGGGCTAGGACTTTAGATATTTTGAACCATTTTTGTTTTTTCACTATCTTGCTTTTTGGGAAATTTTGGGAGAAGGGCGGATGTTAATTTTTTTAGGTTTTTTTTTTTAAGTTAATTTTTTAGATTCATCTTTCGTACCTTGATATTATTACACTATGGATTCTGGTAAAAAAAAAAAAAAAAAAAAAAAAAAAAAAGATATGAATTATTACACTACGGATGGAATGTAGACGTATGTCACTTAAATATTAATTTAATCTCAATTTAAATTTTTAAATTTATGCTGATATGATGCGTATCCGTTCTGTTTAGAAAAGATTAATTTTAATTTTTTTAATTGTTACAATTCGTGAATAAGTAATAAATATGTTAAAATGCCCTTTCTTTTTTTGTTTCTTTTGAAAAAATAATTATGTAGCATTCCTTTCAAATCATCTGCAGATTGAGGAAAATTATCCCACAATCAAACACACGAATAAAAATAGAGCTTTTTCGGCCTCGCAACGTGTTTGAACATTAGCGCATCATTTGTTGTGTTGTATTAGTGCCTCATTAAGGATTCTGTGGTAATTTTTTGCATTTTAATGAAGATTAAACTCTAGGGATTTTACTCATCTTTTTCAAATATTATATCTTCAAGTTAAATCCAGCATTAGATGGTGAAATAAATTGTAGAGCACTGCACTAATTGAGTAAAAATGGTTAGAATTTGAGCTTATTGAGTTCTTCAAAGTTGAACTCGAACTAGAGGTCCAACTTATCTTATCTTACATGAATGCGACCAAATCAAACTTAATCGAGTTAATCAAGATTTCAAGCTCGATTGTTTAGTAAATTTCATAATTTTATAATAAATATTTAAAAATTATCTTAGCATATCTTGACAAGTATTCGAGTTTTGATTTTTTTCTATTTGAACTTGATTCGATAACCTTATCAAGTAGCTCGAACTCAGTCAATGTTGAGTTCGAGTCGAATTTTTGATCGAGTTACTTGCAAGCCTGAGTCGAGTGGCTTGATTTAGACACGATCACAGTTCCAAAACTGTCGGTTCTGATTTAAAACCGACAATCCCGGTTCTTTTGAAAGTTGAAACCAAAATTGGCCATTATAGGGACAATTATGGTCACAAATAGTGTGTTTGGATTGTAAGTTATTTGAAATATTTTTACTGTAGCACTTTTGTGATGTGATATATGTGAGATAAAAAAGTAATTGGGAAGATAAAAAGGTGTATTGGAAATTGTAATGGTGATGTCAGCAAATATATTTGGCCAAATAATTGGCTATATCTCTGGTTCCTGTTACAATTCCGGCTCTTTAAGTCGTGTTCAAACACTTGTTATAAATTTGATTCTAAGAAAATATGAAAATGAATGTTAAAAAAGAAAGAAAGAAAGAACTTTATTATATTATCGTGTGCAAGGAAAAAAAAAAAGAATGAAGCAAATTTTATGAAAAAAAATCTCATTATTGATTAGATTAGATTCATCTTGGATTTAGATTAGTCACAAGGTATAAACTTACTAATGGAATAAAACAATGGGTTGTTGAGTTAGGATTGGAGTTATTGGTATTAAATGCTGACTATTGATATTGAACTTTAAACAAGTCAAATATGTTTAGGTAGCAAATTTTTTTTAAACGGTTTGAATAGGTCGTAAACCGTCAGTTTCGATTATGGTTCAGAATTTCGATGAACTTGAACTTGAACCTGAACCTTTATTCATGATTATGGTTCCAGTTCCAATTTCCAAAATCTGATTCCGATTTCAATTCAACAATCTGCCAGACCGATTCCAATCCGTTTTTCGATTTAAACCTGAACCATAGGCACCCTTAACTTGATTAATTTACACCTCTATTGTTGAACATTAGATTATAACAATTTCAAAGAATTAAATTTTGAATAATTATCCTCATTAAGATACAATTTTGAGGAAATGATACCTAAAACGACATAAAAATTTGCTAAACTCCATCATTCCCTATTCCCACCTTATGCAATAGTGGTGCATAATTATATATTTTTCCACTGAGGAGGTTTTTGTCTTATAGTTGAAGTTGAGACTTCAAGATATAGAAGTTCTGGGTTTAAATCCTCTCTCTCTCTTTCTACTTCTTCAATCTCACCCTTCCATACTAATTTTTTTTTTTTTAAAAAAAAAAGATTGTATCGTTCCTTTGCCCTTTAGCCACATTTTTCTTATCTCCTTTTTTTTCACTTAAAGCAAGCTAGAGAGGACTAACTAATGCATCCAACTTGATTCATCCTTCCACCCTAACTGTTTTAGTGTGTAAGCATGATTGTGAAAAAATCGATCCATGACAATGAATTTGTTTTGACATACCTGCTTAATTTGGAAAGTACAAATTTGTAATCCTAGGCATGGTTAATTTAGGCCTGAAGTCATGTCCACTTGACTGGGAAAAATAAAAATTGCAGTAGAACCTGTAATAGTTCAATTAGGTAAAACCATCCCTTCTGTGGTAATCAGTTCACTTAACAACCACATTTGAAATTGCATTTGATTATAGGGTTTTTCTAACGAGCACTCGTTAAACACCTAAAATCTATTAACAACCTAAAAACATTTCTAACTGCATTTGATCATGAAGTTTTTTAAAGGAGCGTCCATTCTCGTTAGTACACCTAAAATTTATTAGACTTATTATATGTATACACATACCAACAAATCTTTCTTGTATTTATACACTTCTCTAATTAATCTTACTTTTCCCAAAATCTAATACCTAAAGCACATTTTAACGAGTATCCAACGAATACTTATTTGGTAAACCCTTAACCATGACATCCTATCTTACCTTTTTCCCTGTCCAGAGTCATACCTCATAGAAAGGACCCAAAAAAAGAAAAAAAAAAAAAGAGATTGTGACAGCCTGTCCAATTCTTGCAGCAGGATTCCAAATAGCCAAACTTTTTAATAGTATAACCCTTTCCCAAAATTCTTTAAACTTTTTAAGTTTTTATTTTTGATAAAATTGAGGGCAGAGAATTCGAACATAACACCTCAATATCAGGTCAATCTCCTTGCCAAATTGGCTAACCGTTTGAATTGCAATTTTTTGTTGTAAAATTTTTAGTAGAAACTTCCAATCCAAGAGACCAAAGCGTCTGGGGTCACAATCACTAGTAATCATAAATACTCGCGAAGATCTTCGGGAAATTTGTGAACATTGACCGCGTATAAAATTACTTCTAAGAGAAGGAAAACTCCTGTCCTCCTAAACCCGCGCTTACCAGAGTCATGTACACACGCACATTTCCTCATTGGAGGAGGAGCTTGCAGCCTTGAACGTTACAATAAAGAAAGACTAGTAGGATTTTCTAAACAATAATGGAGCATTCTTGGGAACATCTTCTCCTGTATCAATCTCAGAAGAAACACTTTGGGAAACCCCCAAAAAAAATTTTAAAAAAAACACATTGAAGAAAGTAAATAACAGGTTGTAGAGAGCCACTAAAAATGATAACTCAAACGTGATGGTTCTTAGGCTCAAAAAAAAAAAAAAAAGAAAAAAAAAGAAACGTGATGGTTCTTCCTTGTATAGCAGAGACAAACATCTATACACATCTAGCATTATGTCTGGGTCTCCCAATACGCAGGGACATACAGCAGATGAATATTTTTCCTTTTCAATTTCCCTCTTTATCTTTCTTAGCATTCCCCACTTCTTGAAGAGCTCTTAAAGCATGCTACATTTGCATTAAGATGACAGAAATGAAAAAGAACCAGAAGGACAAATTAAACATTGCACAAAGACATCCACCAAGCCTGCACAAAGAACTAAGATACTGGAGCAACCCAAGCAATAGTAGCCAGTACAAAAGGATGGACTTCCAAAGTTCACCAGAATGCAAAGATGCCCAAATCCTTATGCCTTACACCTTCAGCAATGCTGCAGCAAACATAATAAGACCAGTGGTCAATCTATAACAAAATGCAAAGACATAGGACAAAAGATGCGTACCTCACAATGCTTCAGTTGGTAACTTTAGATCTTATCCAGCTTTTCTGCTTTGACAACAGGATTTGCTCTGGCTATTGCATCCCGAGCAGCATTGCGATAGTCAAATGGGCACTCATGCTTATCAGAATAGCGATGCACAGCACAGAAAAGATTTCCACATCTGCAGTTAAAACCAGTTAAACCCACACGTTTGTGGCAAGTGGTGCACCTGTTTGGCCCCTCTTTCACCTTCACCTCTGAGCCCAGCCCAGCTAAAACATTAATCGATGCTTGAGTAGAAACTGCTTCCAAGTCCACTGGCATAACCTGTATAGGCAAAGCACCAGTAGCCACAGGCTCCTTCCCATTGTTAGTTGAGCTGCCATTGACAATATTCTCAATTGATGAAGCTGCAAGCTTGGCTTGCTCCTGCTTCAAGATCATCTCTTTGTGGCACTTAGAACACATATTCATGGTCGCTGCACTACCAAAAAATCCACAATTGTTAATGCAAAGAATTGGCCCTTCTGGAGCTTGGCAGCCTGTCTCTTTTGAGGATTCCATGAGGTAAATATCCTGAGGAAGAACAAAATAGGAAGTAAACCAAATGATTTGAGTAAATGAGAACTTAAGGCATACATTTCTAGAAAACACATAGCCATAGCTCTATACTGATTATTGAATGTTGCAGTGCTCTAACTAGTTGCATCTCTAGGCAATTTTCAAAAACTGCATTGCAAATGAAGCCTACTGAATTCACCAAAATGCAGAAGTATACTTGACATACTAACTAACTCACCAAAGACAAAGGATACATAACACAGTAAAATTGCTTAATATACTAAATCGGCAAAGACCTCCGGATATGTAGGGCTTCAAGACAACTGAAACGTGTTCTACATCTAATAGACCAAGAGAAAAATCTGAAGATCTCCCAAGAACATACACAGTCATCTTAACATTATGCACAAGGAAAACATAAAGAAAGCATATCTGTATTAAGTATCAGAGAAGTGACCAAATTCATCTCTTAAACTTAAGAATTTGTACTACAGCAGTTCCCAACTATGTTGCAGTTCAATCTAATCAGTACAAAATTCAGGGAAGACAGCAAAATATGACAGCATGCTCAAATTACATAGTCACATAACAAGGTTTTTATGCTGTTTTAAGTTTCAACTATGTTTTCTCATTTTACTACTTCAATAAAGCATAAACCCTTTTATTACTTTTCCACTAATGCCCTTACCCCCATGTTGCTACTTTTGCATAACATGCCATTAATATCCCATTATCTACCAATTCGAGTCAGCTCCCCCTTAAACTTCCCCATCACCTTTACTAATTCTTTTTTTTTTTGGGCTTTTGTCAAATTGCACATTATGCCTTTTTCACAAGTCAGACAATTGAGTTCCAAAATGGTGCTGGACTGGAAGCATATTTTTCTTCAATTATTCCAGACTCATTTAAAAGTTTTAATTGTCTTAGACTTGCTTTAGCTCAGTCTTCTATCAGATAGCTAGGCCTTCCTAGTTGTCTAGCTATATATTCTGCAAAAATATTTGGGTTTCCCAATTTTGTAATTGCTGTTCTATTTTTAATTATATCTTCCAGCCTAAGAATTAGGGCTTAAGTTAAATTAGGACTTTGAAACAGGAAAGGAGTCTATTAAAACTTGATTCAGTTCTATTTCAGTTTAGTTTTAGCTGAACATTTTCAGAGGATTTCAGAAAGTTTCGTCAACATTTTTAAATCTATCAACAGCTATTGCACCCAACCTCACCCCCTTCCCCACCCCCCCCAAAAAAAAAGGCTAATTTTCACTGACAATTTGGCATAATTCTTTTCCAAGAACAAATCTTTCCAGACCATCCTTCTACTGCACAACATGTCACAAACCAACCATCTTACACAAGGATGATATACAACAAACTAACAAATACTGATATTTGAAAGTTAAAAGAAAAGCAATCTACAAAGCTCAAAATTCCAAGAGTAGTCTATAGAATTTTTTCCGACAGATACCGAACTTGGAGAATGTGAGTAGACCATTACGATCCCGCTTTCTTGCACATTGTGTGCCCACTTGACAGAATTCCATTCATAATCAGCTCAATTATGAGACGGATTATGACAATATATTTTGTTAGATACAAGTCAAGGCTACAAGAACAGAAAAGTTACCCATCAACTATCTAATGATCAAAACAGACAGCAAAGATCATGTGTCCACAAAACCACAACATCCGCCAGATACCCCCCACCATCTTTTCCCCACAAGGCCAAAAAAGAGGGCAATTTCATGAATAGCTCCTTCAAGGGCTTGCGATAAAGGATAAGATGTTTGACCCAATTGCCACAAACCCATATGGATAAAAAATCACAATAGCAGCAAAGCTTGAAAAACAATGTCAAGAAGACAAGGCTCCTCATTTGAGTGTCCCATCATCAGTGAAGTGTAAGATTTTTCTAAATCTATCTTGACCATCATGAAGACAAGCACAAGCAAATGCAGATGGCTCTTGGCAAGAGACAAGTGCCTCGTAGAAGATATAATATCAATGAAAAGTTGGAGAGGATTTTGTGAGATCCTACAACAAAACTTGCTTTAGGCAGCTAGAGTTTGACCTGGTGTGTGTCAGAGACTGTTTAGGAATGCTTTCTAAAGCTGGAGGTTGTTCAATATAAAGGGCAAAGAATCTGCTGCCCAGGAGACAGACCATTCTACAATGTATGGATAGTGAACAAAAGCGCCTTTCAGGTAAAGTCACAGGAGAAAAGTCATCCAAACAATATCCTTTCTAACAAGTTATGTTGAACAAACAAGAATTATCCATCAAATCATTCTTAGCTTTCAGAGAGGATTTGCTTCACCACAGATGGATGCAATACCTGCTATAAACAGCAGGGAACCCATCCGCGTCCTCAATAAAATTTGCCTTCTTTTCACCCCTCCTCCCAGGGGTGGTTGAGTTGTAAACTACCACCTCACGCATCTAATTGCAAGAAAAATCTAAAGTGTTCTTGATGAGGAGGCCCCTTAGATTAGTGAGGTATACCCCATACATGACCCCCTGCCCCTGCATTTCATGTCATATGAATCTATGAGGACTCCCTAGCTATGAATCTCCCTATTATGTGTAATGCCACTTCAACACTAACACCAATTATCCTCAAGTCAAGATCGAGTGCGAGATCATAAATCAAGAAGGCCACCATAGAAGCCTAAAGGTTACTTAATTGAATACTTTGATGATTGAAAACCCAACAGAATTTAGACTGAATATTGTCCACAGTCTACCAACAGTTGAAAACAGCTAAATAAAGTTAAGCTGAAGGTACACTAAAGATACACTAAGCATCATTTAAAATATCCAACTATACAAATTTAAATTACGCTAAGAACACAGCTTGGCAGAAGTTCAACAGGATACAGACAGTCAAATTACATCAAACTAGCAAATAATCCACAAAGATACTTAACCACACAGCCCCCACCCTAAACATAGTAGAAAATCTTTCCTAACCAACCAAATTCACAACAAAAAAAAACGAAAGATCAAAACTTTTCACCCTTTAACAATAGCACAACATATTTCCAACTAATTTTGGACAAGAAAAGAACAAAGTACAACAAACCCACCAAAGAATTTCATTCTTTTGCATATTGATACATAATCATACACCCGGAAAAGGGCAAACAACCACTTCTGCTACAACAGCAATTATTGACCTAATACTAGTATAAGAACAGCACAAACAAACCTCTCCTATGCTTCAACAAATTTGAAGGAACTTTGGCCGATCTTGACGCGCAAAATCGAACCAGATGTTAATTCCCGAAACCCTTCACCCACAAAAAAGGAAAACAATGAACAGGAAAAAATGAATTAAAATTCAAAAACCTTCATATCAAAATCATGGAGGATTGAAAAAACAATAGAGATGATAAACAAGGGATGAATATCATTCAATAGTACCTTAAATTAATTAAAATTAGAAAATAAGAGATAATAATCGCAGAAATCGAGAGGTGAAGGCGAAGAAAGAGAGCGTGTGGAGAGAGAAAATCGAAAGCAAAGACAGAGAAAAAGAGTTGTGTGGGTTTGGTTTAATAATTGCAAATTCGGTACTCGATGCCTGTACGTATATAAGAAGCCTGATACTGAAGACAAAAAAATTAGGGGGTAAAAAATGATAGGCCCGATCTTGGCCCACTCAGCCCAGAAAAGGGTCCGAGCCTCATGAAAAGCTCGACACGGTACAGTTTGAACCTAAATATATGACCCGAGAGTTAATTGTAAACTGATTGTAGACTACACTAAATTGAAAATTAAGTCCCATTAAATTTTGACCCTAATTATATATTTATATACTATCATATAAAATATCTTGCTTTTAAACATAATATATTACATATGGATAAAATACAAAAAAACCCCATGTGATTACGTTAACCTACGGACAAGTCTCTTATGGTTGTTTCAAATCATACATTTTAGACCTTTATGGTTTGAACTAATTTGAAATATCAACAGAAATCATCAAAACTAATGGAGGTGGACGAAATGGCACAATTACCCTAATATATATAAGCAATAAAAAACCTTTTAACAACCATCTTATTAAGCAAACTTATGAAAAAATCCCCTGTGGTTAAACCAACCTACAAAAAAACCTCCTATTGTTATATGTTGTTTTTATTTATTTATTTTGTGTATAGGAATAAGGAACTTGTATTTGAAAGTTTTTATTTATTTATTTTATGTATAGAGATAAGGTAAGTTTTATTTGGAAATTTTTATTTATTTATTTTATGTATAGAAATAAGGTGAGTTGTATTTGAGAGTTTTGGGTTGTTTTTGAAAATTTTATGAGTTCTAAGGGGTTTAATAGGTATATTAGCTAAAAATTTGAATTAAAAAATTATTTTCCATGTTAAGGAACCTCAAACTTGTTAGTTTAAATGATTTTTGTCGATTTTTCACATTAGTTCAAACTAAGAAGTACTGGATTGTATGATTTGAAACTATAAGAGACTTTTTCTGTAGGTTTACTTAACCACAAGGGGGCTTTTTTGTATTATAATTCTAATGGTATAATAGGTATATCAATTGAAAATTTGTTTGTTTCCAGTACAAATACTCACAAAAAAAGCGCGTGTATTTCAAACTCGTTAATTGATTTTTGTCGCTTTTTTAAATTAGTCCAAACTGTGAGATATCATAATATATGTTTTGAAACTATAGGAAGTTAAAATATCTTAGACAATAAATTTTGTTAAGTTATGGCCGAAAAATTGTTCTAACGCACAATAATCTTTTCCTTTCGTTCAGCATTCTAGACAATATATACAGTGATTTTTTTTCCCGTTCCACATGCAATTCAAATAAAATGGATGAAAATCTTTCTCTACTTTCTCTTTTATTTCTTTTCCACGGGAGTGCTTTTTCTTTTCTTTGCATTCGTCTGCTTCAATCCAAATGGCGTCTAAATCATATGTATACATTTTTACTATCTTAGACGACTGCAAGTCTACAATATCTTTTATTTGTGGTCCTCTGCATTCCATGTCAAAATGTTCGCAAACATTTTATGTAAAGGAAAACAATTCATTGCCAACAAAAAACAATTATCTACTAGGATTAGCATCATCAAGAAGTTTACCACGTACTGATTTGATCGGTTTCAATCACGAAAGTTCTTTTCTTTGATTAAATCCAGGATGAAGTTAAATTACAAGGTTGGATCGGATTAACAATTTAACAAATTCACTTCGATAAATATGAAAAAAAAATATTTGTTCAACACATATGCCATTCGAAGCTTGCATCTCAACTTTTTTTGTACAAAACTATAGTGTAACCGAACAATGATTTGATTTTGAAATGATCAAAACTCACTTGATTATCAAAATCATGGTGAAAATAAAATAAGAGCAAATGTCACATATTGTAACTAAACTATTTAGGATTTTTTCATTTCAGCCACTAAACTTTTTATTTAGCTAAAGTGGTCATTCAACTAATTAAAACATGCATTTTGTGATTGAAAAGTATAAATTTTCATTAGTTGATAGACTAAGGGTCCGTTTGTTTCGGGTGAAAATGTTTTACAGGAAAATATTTTCCTAATTTCCCGTGTTTGGTTGCACAAAAGTTACTGAAAACATTTTCCTATGTAAAATATTTTCACTCATCTTATGGAAAACAACTTCCCTTCCAAATTTACTGAAGTTGTTTTCCGAAATGCATGCATCCCGCCTGTAGTATGTTCCAAACTTACTGAAAACATCTTGTAGTATTTTTTTTTTTTTTAGTGTAAACAGGAGGACTCGAACCCAAGACCTCTTCCTTACACTCCCTCCCCCGTACCACCCAACCCAACCAAACCCTCCCCCTAGTATATTCAAAATAATAAAAAAACTCATCCTGCTCATCCTATGCTAGTAATTAATTATGTATAATAGGGACATTCTTTTCTAGAGAAACTTTTAGCAGTGAGAGTGCAAGATATATGTCACAATAAGCATTGCATGTGATTGATATTTGACACTAAATGACCAGCAATTTGTTTATTGCTTAAGGAGATATTTTTTATTCATATATACATTTCTCCAAGATTTTTTAAAGTTAAACAATGAGATAAAGTTTCTTATTTTGCATGGGAAGAAGTATGTAGTTATAATGTGTAGAAAGTAAAGATAGAGATAAAAGTGAAAATATTTCAAAAGTTAAACAAACACCAGAAAAATGAAGTAAGAAAATATTTTCAATAAGCTAACCAAACACCTGAAAATGATGAAAGGGAAATGATTTTCATGGAAAATTACTTCCACAGAAAATATTTTCCCAAGGAAAACATTTTACTTCCAACCAAACAGACCCTAAAAGTGAACCTTTTCATTAATTGAGTGACTAAAAGCATATATCTTTATTAGTTGAATGAATAATTTGACTCAAGAAAAAGCTTAGCGACCAAAATGGGGAATTTTAAATAATTTAGTAACTTTTTGGCCATTTTCTCTAAAAGTAAAGATAAGTGAAAGTAATTTATTAACTTACACACTGATTATCTATTATTACTGCAATACCCCGAAAAAATAACTCTTAAGGGTTTATTTCTATTTTAATAGATTGAGTATATATAAAAAACAATTGTGGTATTTCTAAGATTAGGGCTAACTATAGGGACCAAATTTGAAATTTATGTCTAAATGCAAGATAGGTACATACATCACGTTCAACATTTAACCTAATCTTATCATTTGTTTTTCTCCAATAGATTAAATTCCAGATTCAGTAGCGGCTAGAAGAGGCTGAAGTAGCCCAACCAAACAACTAACTCAAACTACTAGAATGGAAAAGAAGGACAAGAAAAGAACATATAGATGAAGCTTCAATGGAGGCATGCTAACATATGATTGTATATGATGAAGAAAGAGTAATTTCGAACACTAGAAAATTGAGGTTGTTAATTTATAATTGTATATGATGAAGTCTTCACTGTCCATTAACAGTCGTTCAAAACCACGATTTGGCTTTGGCTTCGATAGAGCTGCAAACGAACCGAGTTCGCGAGCAGCTCGAGTCAAAACTCGACTCGAGTTCGATCAATATTGAACTCGAGTCGAGCTCGAGTTGGTGAAATCGAACTCGAGCTTGAGTTCGAGCACAAAATATTGAGTTCGACTCGCAAGCTCGAGTATATATATATATTTATTTATTTATTATTTTAATAATAAAATTACATATATATTCCTAATATTTTATTATTTATTAAGAAAAATAATTATTTGTTATTTTTATTAGATTAATTTCCAGAGACTCGAGCTAACGAGCTGCTCACGAGTCAGAAATTCGAGCTACATTACGGGCCGACAATTCGAGCTGCTTGCGAGTCAGAAATCGAGCTACAATGCTCACGAGCCTTGTCGAGTCGAGCTCGAGCCTGGCTTTTCCTTGGTCGAGTTGAGCTCAAGCTCGATTTTCTTGGCTCGTCGAGTTCGAGCTCGAACTCGAACCCACCTGTTATTAAGTCGAGCTTAGTTCGATAAATCTAAAACTCGATTCAACTCGGCTCGTTTGTAGCCTTAGGTTTCGGTTTTACTTTCATAGAATTAAGAACATTTCGCTCTACACTTTCAAACATATCAATATTTTCTCTTTGGAGAAAAACATATAAATCGAAAATGGTATTACAAATTTTCAAGAAAAGAAAGTTATAATGAGGCATTCGTTGTTCCAAATAGGCATCCAAGGATCACCTCCAGTATTGTTATCGATTGAAGTTGAAGCACAAACTTGTTTGGCAAGCAAGTTTTTGAGCAAATTTGTTTGCTTCAAATTTTTTAGCAACTTTAACTACACTAAACTAAAAAAACTTCTCAAAAATTTTAAATTATACACTTTAAAATATTCAAAAATTTACACACTTCAAAATTTTTTTCTACAACTTCTATAGTAAAATTTTAGACAAATATCCAAAAAACTCATTTGCCAAAAGGGCGCTTAGTATCCCACGTTCAAATGTGCACATTATAATGCATCCCAAATAAATAAATCTATAGAGTAAATTCTCCATGCAAAAGTCCATGTCATCAAAAAGAAAAATACAACAAAAAAAGGAAAAAATGGAATGAACGACAAAAACCGCGGCTGCTCCAAAGATGCATTCCCCCATCAGTAACGTCAAATCAGCCTAAAAAACACGAAGCTTGCAAAACAAATAAGACTTGCTACAATTCTTAATCGAATTTAATACATGCAAAGAAAGTGATTTGTGGAAGTTCAGCTGACGACTTTAGAAATTAGGATTTATGTGTTTGGATAGCATTCTATATCAGCAGTAGCCAGCCTTAACTCCTCACCATTATGCTCAGTGTGAAAATGTGAAGATTGTAAAAGATGCCTAGCTTTCTTTCCCTGTTCTATTCCGCGTTTGAGCCACCAATTCTTTTGTTGTTTGTCAAACTTCATTTTGGGTATGGATAGTCTTTCCCCTTTTTGTCGCAAAATGAAATCTCCAATCTTTTTCTTTTTTTTTTTTATCCATTTCCTTTGACATGATCTATTTCGAAGATGAAAATTTATGAATGCAAGAACTTTATTCGAATTCTTTGTTTGACTGGAGTAAACTAT